AAAAAAGGTAATAAAAAAAGTAAAAAAAAAAAAAAAAGCATGGTTACTACACTTTATATGGCACACATAAGTCTGCAAGATGAATGTTAAAGATCTCTTGATCTGGGGCCTGTACCATGATGGTGGCTGAACAAACTCAGGGTTACAGGATTAGTTTTGAATTGACAAAACCAAACCACTCCAATCCGGCTTTGTTGGTACCATGATGCTGATCATCAACTTTCTTTGTCAACTCAGGCTTTGACCCTGAGTTTGTGGAGCGCGTGCACATGAATGTGTGACATCAGGGACAAACAGCCAATCACATGCCTTGCAACACAGAGCAAGTGTGATTCACTTATTTGCGAGAGCCAGCGAGATTCAAAAATCTTTTCTTAAAGATTAAGAGATCTTGAGGAATATGAAGATAATAAATGCATTTACACTTAAGTACTTGTCCATGAAAGAGGACAAATAAAATAAATTATCTTGTTCCATTAGTGCAGTCACAAGTAAAACTTGTGAAGTTATATATATATATATATATATATATATAGTGATTTTTATTTTTTTAAAGCTGTAGTACAGACAAACAAGACTTAATTGTTTGGTATTCTCATATAATACCAATAACTAATGTTTACACTGCAAACCAGTCAAGTCTAAAAACACTCTTCCCTGTCCTATCTATTTAGGTTCACTCTTCACACTTCAATAGTGGAACAGCAACAAGTGAAAGAGAAAAGGAGGAGGAGGCCGGTCAGTCTTTTCGGAGTCTCATCATGAGAGCCTAAGCCCTTAAGATGTTCACTGAAGTCTTCTAATTGGCTGAACCTCTTTATTAATCGCCATACACTAAGCTGATTTGCTCTTACTTTATGGTCAATTTAAGGATGAGATATAATTCACTTAATATTATTGACACACATAAGTAAAAACACTTCATTTTATTACAATACATTCAGTTCCACTTTTCAAGCTCATCATTTGAAAAAAAAAAATCCAAAGAAATTTACACATGAAATCAGTGCTAATTAATGGGTTAAATCAGAATCAGCAAATCAGAAATCTTTTTTATTAATGGGTATTTGCCATCTGGAGCCAAATTTTTAGGACCATATAATACATTTGAGGACGCATATCTTGTCAATGTTATCCATACATGCTAAGCATTTCAACTTAACTAGTTAGTCAATTACAGCCATATCAATCAAATCAAGTCATATTTGACTAATATCTGAGAGAACATTCCTATATTTAGGCCTAAAATACACAATACTAGTGATAAACGAAACGTATCAGATGTTACAAATGAAAAAAACAGAGGAATTTATTATAAGGACTTTTTGGGCCCCACATCTTGAATTACAGGGCTCTTCCCCCTGTTCATTTCTGTCCCTCGTCCATATACAATATAATATAGAATAACAGTACATTAAGCATCTAATCCAATGTGTGCACATCCTGACAGGACAGGGAGTGAAGCAGATGGCTCATATTTAGACACTTAGCTGCGTTTCCATCCACCTATTTTTTTTGCGCATTTTGGAATATCACATACAAAAGGCTGGATGGAAACGCCAGAGCAAAGTCTGTCGTCAAAGTATGTCTGTATAATTGTCTAACACGACTGCGTTCCCAAACAGCAGCATTGACAGCATTACGTCAGCTCGTTCTGAGCTGCAAGTCATTTATATCATATGAAAATGATTATATTCAGTGGCTTCTCCTATATTCTTAGTGAGATTTAGTGCCACAGTTTACCAAGAAGTGGCGATTTTGTTCTCTTTGACTCGTTGGATGGAAACGGTGCTTTATTCGCATATGTTTTATGCGATATTCCAGTTTTGCGCATAAGTTTAATTCGAATCTTTGGATGGAAACATAGCTACTAGTTACATGCAGCTCGTAATGTCACATAGCAGTTACAACCGGGTGTCAGTTTATACTCCACCTGTTACGAGGCTGATAATTGAATAACTTCTCGAAACTGCAAACCGTAAAGTCAGAGAGGACGTGATTGTTGATCAACTATAACCCGGTTTATCCTGTAATTTCGGAAAGGCTCGTCATGCCAGCGCCAATGCCTCGCTAAACTAAAACTTTATTGCTAAATTACACTGCTATGAAACAAAGCGCACACAGATTTTCCGTGCGAGTCGTGCCAGGCAAATCAAACAAATCTCCAATCTGAAGGAGAAAAGCTATCCAGTCCTGTCTACCCCATCCCCCGTGACACCGGTTCCAGTCAAACTGATGATAGCTCGTTAGCTCGCTAGCTGCGGCAGCTACACCGTCAACCTTAGAAAGCTCATTTCTGCGCCACTGCGGCTGCGTCGATCGTTTCCCCTCACTGCTTTAATACCAGTCGACGATAACGTCAAAAATCGCGTAGACGTACCTGTAAATGTCGGTGTTTCCTTCAGTGGCTAACAGTGTGTGACAGCAGCTGTACCCCTCACAGGAGAGGCGAGGGTCATCTGACCTGCTCTACCCACAATGCTGTGCGAACCCTGACAACAAGGATAAGAAAAGATCGGGGCGTTTATGGCGCTCTGATAAATGATTAACCCTTAGTTTATTATAAAACTGCGGTTGAAGTAGCCTACTGTTATTACTCAAATATGCATGATAGGCATATTTAGATATTGCAGTTAGCTAATTGTTTAAATAATAAAATAAATAAAAAAGTTATATTTAAATAATAGAATTGAAATTAAATATACATATATATATATATATATATATATATATATATATATATATATATATATATATATATATATATATATATATATATATATATATATAT